TGAAAAGGAATTCCAATAATGTACGCCTTCCGCATCTCTCCCTGCTCCCACCCACCCAGAGCGCCAATGTCTGTATCGGGGCAACGGTCGTCGCTCAGCCCCTGCGCCCCCGATCGTCTGAAAATGTGGGTCACTTTGCTGAACATCCACTTTGCCTGTTTCATGACCCAGCGGATCCAGTTGTTGTGAGTCTCGTACTTCATCTCGTCTTGCGGCTGCGGACCAGGGAATTTTGGCTTCCTTATGCCAAAGAACAGGTGCTTCCTGGTCCACTTACGCGGCTTCCGAAAGTCGAGACGAGGTACAACACCTTTCCCATATCTAATCGGGACGAGATCGTAGAGCCAATGAATCCACAAGAAAACCCCGCCAACGCCGTAGAGCTGCCAGTCGATGTGCCTCGCCAGATACTGATGTGTCAGGTTATTGGAAAGGTTGGTCTTTGTTTTCCTCGAGGCGACGACGAGCACAGGAAGGTCCATCTTCCCTTTTACGCGGGTGCTGCTACGGCACATGCGGATGAACATGTTGGCGAATCGGATTTTCCGAATAGAGACCCCCCTTCCCAGAACCTGGTGCGCCAGCTGAATCATGACCTTCACGACGAGAACCCTCCACGGCGCCTGCGATGGAAAATCCTTGCTCCGCGCGTAGATCTTAAAAGTCTCTTCTGGAAGAATGTTGTGATGCAGCTCCTTGTACTGATCCACGTTGTAGCAATCGTCGAGAGACCCACGGTGCTGGTCCGCGCCGGTTCTGCACAGACAGTGAGCAGGCGTTATACGCTAAGCAATGATACGGAGCGACGATGATCGTCTACGACTCGGAGATGCAAAGTGCAAAGTGTGTGGAAGGCGATTCACATCAACCACAACGAATTGCTCACCGAATCTGCTCCTCGTTGAGGTTGACCAGCTTCACTCTCATAAACGCCCTGCCCTGAGCGACTTTGTCTTGCATCTGGGTAAGGGGGTAGTCGTACAGCGCAGACTCGCATCTGCCGAGGCAGCCGATAGCGTTCATTCTCGCCTTAATCATCTTTGGTGTGCTGGGCTTGGGCTCCCTCCCTGCAACGACAGGTGCATCTCCCTTGAGGGTAATCGCTTGTGCAGGTGTTCCATTGAACAAGTACTCTAGGTAGCGGATAATCCTCCACCCGGTAACACGGGGTCCGTGCAGATGCTGCTCGGAATCGTCCACCGAGTCCCACGAGAGTTTCGCGTCATCGCCCATATACCTGCCTACTTCGTCTGGGTTCGCGAGGTCAATTTTCTCGGACTCTGGTATCATGTCTGCCAGCAGAGTCATCATCATTACTGTAACCCAACGCTTGTAATGGCGCCAGTTGCAGGCGTACTGTGCTCTGGTGTGTGCGGCTTTTCCGTCGACATGCACGGCAGCGAGCATTTTCCTGTGAGTTTTCTCGGCGTCGCTCTGCGGGGGATCGCTCCCAAGGATGCCGGTGTCTTCGCTAAACAGGGGACGCCGAGTGTGGCTTGAATTCTCATCGTCTTGGCTGTGCCAAAGTGGTTGTCTCTGCGCAGATCGTCGGCCCCGCCGGCGTCGTCGACGTCGAGCAGACCGTTGGCCTTGCGAAGGTTGTTGGTCCCCTGCAGATGATCGTTGGCCTTGAGACGGTCGAGTGGTGTTGGACTGCCCAACACCTACACCCTCGGCAGCTCTGTGGTGGCTTGAACTCTCACCCCCTTGACCCTCCTCATCGCTTTCCCCCTCCTCCATGTCTTTGTCACTGGCGTCGCTAAAATCGGTGTCCGTCTCTTCATCGTCCTCGTCATCCGAACTGTCATCGTTGTCGTCTCCCTCGACTGCGTCCAGGTACTCGGTCTCATCCTCTTCACCATCCCCTTCGTCTGCCAGAGGTTCTCTTTCGTTCTCTATCGGGTCGCCATATTCCGACTCCGTCTCTTCATCGTCCTCTTCCTCTGCACCTGCTTCCGGGACTCTCTCTTCTCCACCGTCCCTTTCCAATGCAACTGGTTCCCGGCCTCCCTCGTCTTCAGCAGCCGCGCTACCCTCTTCTACGACTTCCTCGGGAGCCTCTGCAGCTTCGTAGTAGTCGTCTTCAACATCGCAATCGTAGATGAGATCGTTGGCTGCATCCAGCGCATAGTCATCTTCGGCGTCCGTTAATTCGTCGTCGTCCTTGTCGTCGCACCCGCCAAGTTGTTGCCAAAAAACTAGGAGCCAATCGGTCCCATCTGTGGACATTGTGCCCTACGGAGAAGGAAACCGCGCCTAACTAGCTAAACGTCATATGGGTTCGCCAAACTTCAGTGTGCATGCAAAAACGAGCCTACCTAAAAGGGTATCGCTACTAACGAACAGTGGTCGGTCAACTTCAGCACATTGGATGTACGTGGTCGCGCAACAGTGGTTTCGTTGATTAAGCAAACGTAAACTACGTCATAGATGGATCAGTAAAGATATACACTAACGCGACACTGTAGAGTCGCTCTGAACCTTACTGTCGTCGAAGAGTATCTGATTCTAACTAGACGATTCTATCCGTTTAAATCAGTTTGCAGCTCAGAACTACGGACAAGTGTTACCGTAGAGGATTAACTAACGGTGCTGTCTAGATATCGCTGACTGGTAGACAAGCGTATCATATACGACATGCATAACCTTCTAATCTAGCGTGTTGCATAAATGCTATCAGGATGCTTCTACCGCTGCCTGTCTCGATTTCGGGACGAGATGCAGAACCAATGTTCTAATGTACAATTGACAAATTGGACGGTCGGGCAGCCCAAAAAAAAAGGGAGGCGTCCAAAACTAATCGTCTACAAAAAACCAGATCGAGGACCACGACGATATGCAGACTTTCTACGAGGGCTGCTGTGGGAGCTGATACGTGCTAGGGGTGGGGCGTTGAGGACTTAGCAAAAAAAATAGATGAAGCGGGTGCAAGAGCACTTGGAGGACCACGCATTGGCCATCATGAAAAACGTGAACAAGAAAAAAAAAGAATCAGAATGAGGGCGACAACAGGCTTTGAAGCCCCACCTTGAGCTGAATCCACTAATCAGGTCACCCGGTTTTCAGATCTGGATCTCCTGGCCACCCGCCAATTCCAGGGTCGACGGTTGGCTCCTGATTAACAGGAGATGCGGTCGTCTGGTATTGGTTCCTGCGTCGGAGGAGGAACATGTTCGCCGATTGGTCGACCCATTTTTTGGTGTCAAAATACACCGCGTATTTCATACGAACTTTTAAAAAGTATCAAATGTTTGATCGTGAAGCACTCTGTAGAGAGTTCGCGTGCGACGAGCTCTGCGACGACTTGACGACCGTCCCATCGCAACCGGTCGTGCGAGAAGCGGGTGTCGTCGGCCGTCCGGGGGGTAACCTCGGTTCTCGCGAGCGTTTCGCCTACAACTGCCCTCGCCAAAGTTGGTGTTGCATTTCGAGTTCGGCCTCTGCCCGAGCTGGATTTTTGGGTTAGGTGGGCGCAACAATTCGGCCCGGAGAGCCGTGTCGTATTCGGCGGGGCTTTGTGCCCGTTTTCCGCCCGTCTTTTTGCCTAAACAGAACCAGAAAGACAGCCAGGCGTTTTCGGATAGACAGGGACCCTCGGCGGAAAAAAACTTACATCATCCCACGTTCAGGACAGGTCACGATTGGTGCCCACGACCGGAATAATCCAACGAGCAACGTAGATCCACCTGCTATTGCTCGTTGGATAATTCCGGTATGTGATTCAACGAGCCAGGGAGTGTCTTGTACAGTATTTTCAATTACCTTTGATGATCCTCCCCAACCATGTCTTTCCTAAATTTGACATTCGCATAACTTGGACAATGTTATCTAATACAAAATTCCCATAAAAAACATATCAGTTTGAGGCATCACAACTGCTAAAAAGGAGCCACACATGCTAAAAAAACGATTCGTTCGAAAATGTTTATCATCATTCGTAACAAAAACGAGATTGTATGTGCGACTCGAAAATACTACATTCTTACAAGGAATGTCAGGATCATATCTGTTTATGGTTTTGGAGTGTCAACGTTAGAAACAGCAGAATGATGTTGAACTAGTAAGAAGGGAGTACAAATACGGTACCGTAGCAAAACCTAGAAAATTATACCCCCTATAGCTAACCTCACTATAGCCTAACAACACACATATATATATATGTCATGCCTCTCGTTATCAGACCAATTTGGTCTGAATTTCTGAATTCCAGACGTGATTTTTTTTATTCATCTGATTTCTATTATGTTTTCCCTCATCTGAGGAGCAAGACAAAGGCTTTACGTTCGTATGATTTTCCAGACCATGTAGAATACTTCGTCCGATTTTACAGATATCGAATTCGGTTTCGTCTGAAACCGACAAATTTGCCCGCTAGGCCATAGGACCACTAGGCCATATGCGCCCAGTAGACCAAAGGACCACAGGTACAAGTATGGTTGCTGCCTTGTACCTGCACGCGCATTCAATGTGCGTGTCTTGTAGCAGCCTCGCTGTCACGAACCTGCGGCATTTGCTGCCAGGTGACTGTCGTGTAGCTGGCTGTCGGCGCCGACGCCAGCCACAGCCACGGCACTTCCCTTTCCTACACGTTACGTAAAAAAGGACGGTGGTTGTCCTGTCCCCCGCTCCCATCCCGCATCGCCTTTTGATGTACACTGCACGATGACGGGGGGGTCTCATGCAGCTGAGCGAGGCTTGTTAAACAGGCTGTTTGTGGAGCGCGTCCTCCTCACCTCTCACCCAGCCGAGCATGGTCTGTTTCCCTCGTCACAGCTTCTTTCTTTCATCTAGTTTAGGCTATGGCCGACCCCACCGCTCCTGCGCCAGGGGTTTCGGCGTTAGACTTCCTAACGCGGGGCAAGCCGATCGCCCCTGTTGCCCCACCAATTGCTTCAACATCTGCTGCGGTACCTTCGCCCATTGACGATGCGCCAGTGTCGGAAAATGGCGATAACTCTGCGCCATCGACCGCTACACCTACTACGCCAGTATCTACTTGCATGCCGTCCTGCGGTGCCGATAACAACGTCCGTGTAGTATCTGACGCTACCAAATCCTCTCTCAGGGCTAACCCCATCTTGCCCGACAGGTCGTCAAAGGGGCTGTACAAGCAGCGAGTTCTGAACTTCGCGCGTCCGACACAGCCGGCACCGTCTGTGGAGACGCGACCCGTGGCTCCCGAACCTGCGGCTAACGACATCGAGGACCCCAAAGGCAAGAAGCTGTCGGTTGAGGAGCTTCAGCTGAAGTGCAAGGAGCAGTGGCAGCGATACTTTCCCTGGCTATTCATCTCCGTAACCAAGGATGGCCGACCCTGCATGCGCTGCAGCATCTGCATGGTTTTCGCCGACCCCAACTCCAAGTACGGGCGCTACGGTGTTGGTAGCACCGACATTCAGATGCAGACGATGCGCAAGCATCACCACAGCCTGAAGCATGAGGCGGCGGTCCTGCGGAAGGAGCAACGTGACGGAGCGAAGAAAGGACAGAGGTCCATTGTGGACTTTCACCAAGGGGACGAGGAGGTCAAGCGCCTTGCTCGTTTGATGTCGATTGTTTTATTCATTTGCAAATCTGACGCACCCATTGTGCTCTTCGTGTCACTCGTCCAGTTCATGGCTGAGCAGGGGACTCCGGATCTGCCCCTTAAGGAGAACGGGACGTACTACAGCGAGTAAGTGTCCCGTCTTTCACGTTTTGTGGTTTGTTTTCTTATAGTTGCTAATGAAAACATTCCCTACTTGTTTCAGGTACGGCTTCGCACAAGTGGTCGAGACTATGGTGTGCTACATGAAATCCCGACAGTTGAAACTCATCCGCGACAGTCCTTACCTCGGTATCCAGCTGGACGAGAGCACCGACCGACGAAAGGGAAAACACATGATCGTCTACATGACGTTCATGCGTGACAACGCTCCCGTCACCGAGTTCTACGCATTGCTGACTGTGGAGCAGTGTGACGCCGCTTCGCTCACGACCGTTCTCCTTACCCACTTGGAGTGTAGCGGCATCGATCTCCAGCGAATCTCCGGCATGAGCACTGATGGAGCTAGTGTCATGATCGGCCAGCACAACGGAGTGACCGCGCGCCTCAAAGAGAAGGTTCCACATATCGTATCGTCACACTGCATCGCGCACAGGCAAGTGTTATCGTGCTTTGCGTTCATGCGGGCTTGTTCTCTACATGATTTCTAATTTATCGTTACATGTAACTTTTCTATTTTTTTTCAAGGAGGCCTTGGCGGCCAAAGACGCAACCATCTAACACCCGGATTTTAACGTCGTGGACAAGGTGGTTCGCGCCGTTGCTGAGAACCTCGGTCGTTCTTCGGTCGTCCACTCACGCTTTATTGAGCTGCAGGAGGTCATCTGCGAGACCAACCTCGAAGTTCAAGGAATCAAGGACGTCCGTTGGTTGTCTCGCGGTCAAGCTCTCGAGCGCTTGGTGAAAGTGTTTCCGGCGGCAGTGTTTGTCTTGCACGAGTTCGCGAAGAAGATGTACAAGGTCATCACTAGCTACAAGTTTCAGTTCATGCTGTTTTTCCTAGCGGATGTGCTGAAGGAGCTCAACCTTCTGAGCTTGAAGTTCCAGCGTCGCCAGGTGAGCGTGTGTTATGCATTACAAGCATCGGTTTTTTTCAACCCCACGTTAAGTACTGACCTTTCTTGTGCTTCGTTTCAGGTTGACGCGACCCATGTGCTGCCGATGGTACACAACACGACTTTGCTGCTGCGCACTCGTTACCTCGACGGCGACGACGAGTCTTTCGGCCAGGGCGGAGATGCTTTGGGCCCCTTTCTCAAGAAGCACGCGTCCAGGGAATGCCGAGAGGTGAAGCTGGCTGGCACATCGTCCGACGGAACTTCGACTGACCTTACCTACACACTCCATGAGGAGCCCATCAAAGGGCAGAAGACCGGTGCGGACCACGGTGCGTGTTTGGAGTTGGCGCGCGCGTTCGTGGCAACCTTGACCGGTAGGCTCGATCACCGCCTCAAGGACCTCGCCAACCTCGACGGGGCGAAGCTGTTCAAGCAGGGGTCGTATCCCAAGAACCAGGCCAAGCGCGAGCGGAAACTTGCACAGTGGATGCAGTCGCTGCGCAATATGTTTAAGAAGAAGCCTGAAGACCCCGACACCCTACCAGGTGCTTAAAATACTTGAAGTTTGTAGCCTATGTGATGATTGCTTAACCAGATTACCGCATATCATGCTTTACCTGAATGTTTCATTTCTGTTGCACCTACTTCCCATTGCGAACCACACCCCACAGTCATCAACTGGGCGCGAGCGCAGAGGGAGATCATCACGTTCTCTACGATCATGGCCACACACCAGGAGGATGTGGGCTTCGCCGACAGCCTGAAGCTCATTCTGTCTTCTCCCGACTGGACGACCTGCTACCCGAATCTCGTGCACTTGTGGATCGCCGTCGCCGTTCTTCCGCTCAGCACGGTTGAGTGCGAGCGCGGCTTCTCACGGCAGAATGTGATCAAGAGTTGGCTTCGCGGGAACCTGTGTGACGCGAACCTAGGGGAACTGATGACCATCTCGCTTCTCAGCTATGACATGGAGTGGCCCGATTTACTGAGGAGGTTCGACGCTTCAAAGAAACGAAGGCCTGCCAAGGATGTGCTGATGGTTTCCGGGGAGAGACAAAGCAAGCGCGCGAAGAAAAGATCTGCCTCAGCAGCAGCAGCAGCCGCAGCATTGGCAGCAGCAGAAGCTGCAGCCCGAGAAGCAGCCCTAGCAGCAGAAGCCGCAAGGCTTGATGCAGAATACCCCTGGCTCAGTCGGAAAGATAGGGGAAAAGCTCCAGACCCTTTTGCGGAAAGCGAGGATGACATTGATGACGACGACAGCGCTGGTAGTGACTCTGACTAGGTTGCTAGTTATCTAGGATGTGCAAACTTCATAACATATTGATAGATGTAATGCATAGTTAGGCTAAGTAGAAAATCCAACATATTATTACTTTGTGTTAGGTTCAGACCGAAGAACTTTTTTCGTCCTTTAGATCAGACTCTGTAGACTTTTTCGTCTTTACTGTAAGACAACTGAAGGTTGGTCATCTAGGCGTCAGAAAAAAAAAAAAAAAAAAAAAGTTATACTCTCAGACAGGTCCAAAACATAGCGAGAGCCCTGATATATATATATACACACCCCCATAGGCTAAGTGACGGATAGAAAGAATAACAAACGGTCACAACACCAGGTAAGACAAGAAACAAAGCAAAGCTCAAGGTGGATCTCAGGGTACACATGCAGGTACAAATATATACCGCACAGTACAGCAAATACAAGACGAGCTCAAGAGGTAAGCAAGTGAGACAAAGTGGGCACAAGGCCACCCCTCGCTAGTATCCACGGCTCAAGGACGGTAGGCACGTCGGCCTTTTGTCGCAAGGGGAAAACCGTGGTGTAGCGGGAGTAGTCGTCCACCACAATCAGGAAGTAGCGCTCCTAACGTGGGCCAAGTACTGGGGAGGGGCCCCAGACGTCTAAGTGCAGGGTCTGTAAGGGAGCCGTGGTGGGGAAGAACGAGGAGGAGTGAGGGACAGCGCGCTGCCGACCCTCGACGCAGGGAGTGCACGGCGGCGCAGGCGAGCGAGGAAGCGGGGCAAGCGACTCTGGGAGACCTGAGACCAAACGGTGACGTACCATCCTACTGAGACGGTGGTGCCAGAGGACCGACGGGTGGGTGAGTGACACACCAGCTACCTGACCTGACCTGACCTGACCCAGTGTGGTGGGACCCAGTGTGTAGTGAGTACAGACCAGAGCCCGGCTCCCTGTGGAAAGTGGCCAGAGGCGTCCCAGTGGCACCGACTGTGCAGGGGCAACATGCTCGTGCAGTGGGAAAGTAGTGACAAATCCGAGGTCGTGGAGGTGACTGACACCCACCAGGTTCCTAGAGAACGAGGGGGTGTAGTAACCTGTGAGAAACCCAGACTGAGCCGCTGGACACGGGAGAGTGGTGGTGCTCTCGGCAACTACAGATCCTACAGAGGGGTCAGCCAAGGCGACAGTGACTGGACTGTGCAGTGACGTGAGGTCGGTGCAGTCGCAAAAGAAACAGCTGGACGCTCCTGAGTCTAGGGTGAAGGAAAGCCGTGCAGTCGGTGAGGTCGCACCCGAGCCACCGACAAAGGCTGGTACTAGTCTAGTGGTAGCTGCATCTCCCACACTAAGAACCTCTGAGGCGCCTGGTGTCAAAGTTATACGGGCCCACCACTCTGACTGTCTCCTAGCGCCCTCGTGCGCCCCACTGTCTAAGCGCCCTCGTGCGCTCCTCCTTAGAGGCCCCTTACGGCCCCGTCGACCCCTTAGCGGCCCCTCAAGGCCCCGTCGACCCCTTAGCGGCCCCTCAAGGCCCCGTCGACCCCGCGCGCCGCCCTTTCACGGCCCCTTACGGCCCCGTCGACCTCGCGCGCCGCCCCTTAGCGGCCCCGTCGACCTCGCGCTCGCCCCTTAGCGGCCCCGTCGACCCCTTAGCGGCCCCTTACGGCCCCGTCGACCCCGAGCGCCCCCCCCTAGAGGCCCCTTACGGCCCCGTCGACCTCGCGCGCCGCCCCTTCGCGGCCCCGTCGGCCCCGCGCTCGCCCCTTAGAGGCCCCTTACGGCCCCGTCAGAACCGAGCCGCCCCCACGCGCGACCGCCACGGCCCCGCCAGAACCGAGCCGCCCGAACCGAGCCGAGCCGCGCAGCCCGAACCGAGCCGCGCCGCCCTCCCCGTACTGAGCAGCCCTCTCTGGACCGAGCCGCCCTACCTGAGTCGCAGTGCCTACTGTTTTTAGGGTTTTACCTGCTACTACTGCTCTTACTGCAACTATGGCTAGCCCTGCTGTTCTAGCTTTCGATGCTGAGGGTCGCCCACTGAAGTTTGAGACCTGGCTCGATGACTTGCACCTGTTCCTCCAGCTCACTGCCAAGGAGGATATCTCGCTGTACGATCACGCACTAGGCGGGCGCTGCCCTCTCCCCTGCAGCTCCGCGAGTGGTACACTCGGCACTGCAGTCTCCGGAGTGGCGCTCCTTGCGTCGCGGACCCCGGTACTGCTGCTGGTGCTGCCGGTCCTGGTGCTGCTGGAGCTGCTGGTGTTGCTGCTGGAGCTGCTGGAGGTGTTGCTGGTGCTGGTGCTGCTGGAGGTGCTGCTGCTGCTGCAGCTGCTGGAGGTGCTGGTACTGCTGGCGGTGCTGCTGGCGCTGCTGGAGGTGCTACTGGTGCTGGTGCTGCTGGAGCTGCTGGAGGTGTTGCTGGTGCTGGTGCTGCTGGAGGTGCTGCTGCTACTGCAGCTGCTGGAGGTGCTGGTGCTGCTGGCGGTGCTGCTGGCGCTGCTGGAGGTGCTACTGGTGCTGGTGCTGCTGGAGCTGCTGGAGGTGCTGCTGCTGCTGGCGGTGCTGCTGGTGCTGCTGGAGGTGCTACTGGTGCTCGTGCTGCTGGAGCTACTGGAGGTGCTGCTGGTACTGGTGCTGCTGGTGCCAGTACTGCTGGAGCTGCTGGAGGTGCTGCTGGTGCTGGAGCTGCTGGAGCTGCTAGTTCTGGAGGTGCTCGTGCTGGAGGTACTGGAGCTGCTGGGACTGGAGCTGCTGAGGGGGTTCGAGCTGGAGTTGCTGAGCGGCCGCGGCCGTACTACATTCCGCTCCTTCAGCAGGTTCTTGGTCTCCCGCCCTCTCCTGGTCCTACTCCTTCTCCCCTACTGAGTCCACCACCTGTCCCGTCGCAGTCACAGTTACAGCCTACCTCTCCACTGCCTGGTCCCTCTCCTTACACTGCGCCGACAGGTAGCTTTACGGAGCGTCGTGAGCCTGAGTCTCGTCCTCCGTCGCCTGAGTCCAGTCCTGCGTCTTCTGAGTCTCGTCCGGAGTCGCCTGTCCGCACTGCACGCACTGGTCGTCGTGCTCCACGTGAGCGTCCTCCTCCTGTCCTAGGCACTCACTACATGACCCTGCGTCAGTCCACTCCTCCACAGCGCGTCCCTCTGCCGTCTCCTCCTGTGTCCTCTCTTCCTGACGTTGCCGACCCGCCGTCAGACCTTACTCGTGCTGCCAGTCCTACTGTCGCGCGTCTCCTTGCCACTGTTGTCACTGACCCTACCTTTGAGTCCTCTGCTGCGTCTGCTCTAGTCGCTGAGCTTGTTGACTTTGCTGCCGCCTGTCGTCTAGACTACGCCGCTAGCCTTGTTGCTGAGTCTGAGTCTGTCTGTCCTCCGTCCGTCGGGGGTGAGTGTGCTCTTGGCACGGACGTCCTTGAGGACAGACAGGAGGAGTTTCAGTGCTTTGCTGCTGCTTTACCTCATCTCGTGTCCATGCTGATTGCCCCTGAGGGAGACCCGGATGCACCAGACATCCCGACTCCACGCTCCTACGCAGAGGCGATGGAGGGTGAGTACTCCTCTCAGTGGCAGACAGCCATGGACGCAGAGATGGCTTCCTGGAAGTCCACAGGCACCTACGTCGACGAGGTTCCCCCACCTGGGTCGAACATCGTCAGTGGCATGTGGATTTTCAGGGTGAAGCGGCCGCCGGGTTCTCCGCCGGGTTCGCCTTCAAGGCGCGTTACGTTGCACGAGGCTTCAGTCAGCGAGAGGGAGTTGACTCCCGACCCCGAAGATGACCACTCTTCGGGTTCTGCTGCACGTCGCCGCTCAGCGTGACTACGAGCTCCACTGCCTTGACTTCAGCATTGCTTTCCTACAGGGCACCCTGCACGAGGAGATCTGGCTGCGCCGCCCACCTGGCTTCACTGGGTCGTTCCCTCCTGGTACCAAGTGGAGCCTCCGTAGGCCGGTCTACGGTCTCCGCCAGGCGCCACGTGAGTGGCACGACACACTGAGGACTAATCTTGCTGCTCTTGGGTTTGCTCCTTCTACTGCTGACCCGTCGCTGTTTCTACGCACCGACACCACACTGCCGCCGTTCTACGTTCTCGTGTACGTAGACGACTTGGTCTTTGCTACTTCTGACACTGAGGCACTCGCCCACGTGAAGTCGGAGCTGCAGAAGAGACACACGTGCACAGACCTGGGTGAGCTGACAAGCTATCTTGGCTTGCGGATCACCCGGGACAGAGCACAGCGCACCATTACCTTGACTCAGTCACACATGGTGCAGCAGGTCCTTCAGCGCTTCCGCTTCACGTACTCCTCGCCTCAGCCCACTCCTCTGCCTACCGGTCACTCGCTCTCAGCTCTGCCTTCGGATGAGTCCGTAGAGCCGAGTGGCCCGTATCCAGAGCTGGTGGGCTGCCTCATGTACCTGATGACCTGCACTCGACCTGACCTAGCCTACCCTCTTAGCATCCTAGCACGCTATGTCGCTCCTGGCCGTCACCGGAAGGAGCACATGGATGCCGCTAAGAGGGTGTTGCGCTACTTGTGCAGTACGTCGGGCATGGGGCTTGTGCTTGGAGGACGGCGCGACGTTGTCCTCACTGGACACTCAGACGCTTCTTGGGCTAACGACCAGGCTACTCAGCGGTCGTCTCAGGGTTACACCTTCAGCCTTGGCTCTGGCTCAGTTTCTTGGCGTTCTACACGCTCTTCCTCTGTTCTCAGCTCCAGTTGTGAGGCTGAGATCTACGCCACAGCCATGGCTGCCCAGGAGCTACGCTGGCTCACCTACCTGCTGACCGACCTCGGAGAGCGGCCTAGTTCTCCTCCAGTGCTGTACGTCGACAACAAGGCAGCCATTGCCTTGTGTGAGGAGCACAGACTGGAGCACAGAACGAAGCACATCGCTCTGCGCTACTTCCTCGCTCGAGAGCTGCAGCAGCGTGGTCAGCTTCGTCTGCGTTACGTGGCCACTCGGGCCAACACTGCTGACGTGTTCACCAAGGCACTTCAGCCTTGTGACCATCAACGTTTCTGTACTGTTCTAGGCCTTGTGCCTACTCTCCCTCACCTGCTCACTTCTTGACTCTGCTTGTACTGTGATCTCTATATATATACCTGCATGCTTTTACTTGCTAGGTTGTGATCACTGTACCTCATGTTCTATTATCAAACTGCATGTGAACTGGTCTTGTGACCACTTGCTTGTGCTCGGAATTTGTGTGGTATCCTTGAGATCCACCCTGAGCTTGTTTTGCTTTGCTTTGCTTTGACTGGTCTTGTGACCCCTTGTTCTCCCCCACTTTGCCTATGGGGGTGTGTCAAAGTTATATGCTATAGCTTGTTTAGGCTGTAGTGGGTTAGTCAATATGGGGTACAACACTTTAGGGTTTCACTACTTGTACCACATTTCTGTTCAATGCAATCATTCCTGCTTCGTACATTCTAACACCTGGACCGGAAACTACACACGCACCAAGACTGGAAACACAAGGCTCAATAGCAGTTGCAGCTCCCACGTACCGGTGTGTGTACTGGCCAGGTCCGTCAGGGCCCCGCTGTGGAGGTTGCTGCAGGCGCTGCAGCTGAACCCACCACTGCTGCAGCTGCGGCCACCGGTGCTGCTGCCGTTGCCACTGCTGCTGGTGCGACCACTGTTGTTGCTGCGGCTGTCGCCACAACGACATGGCAAGCTAGTACGGGGGGGGGGGGGGGGGGGGGGGGGGGGGGGGGGGGGGGGGGGGGGGGGTACGCTGGCGGGAGCCTTAGTTGCTGCTGGTGCGTTGGGGTAGCCTATGCTACTGTTGGTGATGCTGGTGGCAGTCTAGGCTGCTGAGAGTGCGCTGGCGGCAGTGAAGGTTGCTGCTGGTGCTACTGGTGGCAGCCTAAGCCGCTGCTGGTGCGCTGGTGGCAGCATATACTGCTGATGGTGCAACTGATGGTAGTCTAGTGCGGTGGTGAACGGTTGGGTGGGGTTGAGAGCGGTTGGGAACGGTGTTGGACGGTCAGGTGGGGCTAGGAGTGGCCTGGTGCGGTGGAATGCGGTTGAGTGCGGTTCTGGTGCTTGTGGGAGGGGTTCAGTGCGGTCGGATGCGGTTGGGAGCGATGGAGGGCAGTTCAGTGCGGTTGGGAGTGGTGAAGAACGGTCTAGGGCGGCGGGGGAAAAAAAAACGGGTGGGCTGTCAACGGGCATAACGAGGCTACGGGCGGCTGCTGTTGACGCTAGCAGTTGCAGGTGCTAGCTGCAGGTGGCGCTACTTGCTGCTACTGCTAGCGCTAGATGCTGTTCTGCTGGCCGTGCACTGCTGGAGGGCGCTCGCAGGCGAGGCGAGTACGAACGGACGGGTGCGTACGGGTGGGTGGGTGCGTACGGGCGGGTAGCTGCCGGCGGGTGCTTACGAGAGGCCAGGTTCGGACGAACGGGCGGGTGCATACGGGCGAATGCAGAGAAGAGGACGCGTACGAACTGGCGGATGGGTGCGTTTGGGCGGGTGCGTACGTGCGGATGTGTCGTCCTGGCAGGTGCGTACGGGTGGATGCGAACAGGCGGGCGTCTACCAGCGGGGACGTCTAAGGTGTCAGAGTATGTTATTTGTGTAGCCTGCAGTGGGGTACTCAATAGTGAGTACAGCCCCTTAGGGTTTGCTATTTGTATCCTGCTGCTTGCTAGTCCAATCATCCTTTCTTCAATTCTGTTTCCGTTTGCTCAACTCTCACTCGTACTTGGCGTCTCCTTCCTAGTCTTAGCGTGACCTAGGCTACTAAGCTTAGGCCCGTCTGCTAGTATGTTTGACATGGTATCAGAGGGAGGCGTGTCACTGCCGCCTTCCTGTATGGGCCCACCACCTGCTTCCGCTGCCGTACTGTCCGCCGCGCGCCCCGTGGTGCGCGGCGCAGAAACCCTAATTTCTGCCCGCCGCGCGCTCGAGGCGCGTGGCGGTTTACCCTTCCGTGGCGCCCGTCGTGGTGCCCTTGGGGGGCATGCGCGGTCCCCTCCCGTCGCCCGTCGAGGCGCTCTCGGGGGCCCGCGCGGCCTCCCCTCCCGTCGCCCGTCGTGGCGCTCTCGGGGGCCCGCGCGGCCTCCCCTCCCGTCGCCCGTCGTGGCGACCACGAGGGCCCGCGCGCGGTCCCCTCCCGTCGCCCGTCGAGGCGCACTCGGGGGCCCGCGCGGCCTCCCCTCCCGTCGCCCGTCGTGGCGACCACGGGGGCCCGCGCGCGGTCCCCTCCCGTCGCCCGTCGAGGCGCACTCGGGGGCCCGCGCGGCCTCCCCTCCCGTCGCCCGTCGTGGCGCCCACGGGGGCCCGCGCGCGGTCCCCTCCCGTCGCCCGTCGCGGCGGCTCTGGGGGCCCGCGCGGCGCCCTTCCCGTCGCCCGTCGCGGCGGCCCTGGGGGGCCGCGCGGCTCCCTTTCTCGTCGCCCGTCGGGGCGCCCTGGGGGCCGCGCTCCTCCCCCCCCCCCCCTCCCTCCTACCTTTCACCTGCAGCGGCCGCCCCTGGAGCCGCCCGCCACTGCAGCAGCCGCCCCTGGAGCAGCCCGCACCTGCAGCAGCCGCCCTTGGAGCAGCCCGTGCCTGTAGCAGTCGCCCCAGGACCCGCGCGAGCCGCCCCTGCAGAAGCCCGTCCCGACCCCTCCCCCCGTGCTGCCCATTTCTCCCATTCCGCCGTGCGTTCTGCGGTGGTGGGGGTGTGGGGTGGCGAGCATGGGGGTGCGAGGTGTGGGTGCTCCCCTTCCCTTTCCCCTCCTCCTTTTTCGTCTCCCACTGCTGCAGCTGCTGCTGAGGGGGGTGGAGGTGTGGGAGCCGCGGGGAGTGGAGCTAGGGGGTTGGGAGTGGAGCTAGGGGTGCAGCAGGGGGTGTGTGGGGGGGGGTGCGGGACAGTTGGGGGAGGTTGAGTGGAGGCAGCCGTCTTGTCGTCCGCAGCGCCTGTAGTCCGGAGCCGTCGCGCTCTAGTAGCCCAGCGAGCCTGCTGCGCCAGTCGCCCGTGGGTCCGTTGCTCCTGCCGCTCGTCGTAGCCGCAGAGCCTGTTACTCCTGTAGTCCGGAGCCGTCGTGCTCTCGGTAGCCACTGTGCCAGCTGCTGCTCCTGTTGCCTGTGTGTCTGCAGCTTCAGTCGTCGCCTCCCATCTTCTCTCCTCCCACAGTCCCTCCTCCTCCTCACTTGCCTTCTGTGACTGCCTCTAGCTTTGCTCATAATTGTGAACTATTGCACTGCCTGCTCATTGTGCTGATTACACCCCACTTTGGCTATGGGGGTGTGTCAGAGTATGTTATTTGTGTAGCCTGCAGTGGGGTACTCAATAGTGAGTACAACCCCTTAGGGTTTGCTATTTGTATCCTGCTGCTTGCTAGTCCAATCATCCTTTCTTCAATTCTGTTTCCGTTTGCTCAACTCTCACTCGTACTTGGCGTCTCCTTCCTAGTCTTAGCGTGGCCTAGGCTACTAAGCTTAGGCCCGTCTGCTAGTATGTTTGACATAAGGGAGGCCGCGCGGCCTTCTAAGGAGAGTCGCGGGGCCTAAGGGAGGCCGCGGTGCCTTCTAAGGGAGGCCGCGGGTCTTCTAAGGAGAGCCGCGGGGCCTAAGGGAGGCCGCGGGGCCTTCTAAGGGAGGCCGCGGGGCCTTCTAAGGAGAGTCGCGGGGCCTAAGGGAGGTCGCGGGGCCTTTTAAGGAGAGCCGCGGGGCCTAAGGGAGGCCGGGGGCCTTCTAAAGGAGGCCGCGGGGCCTTCTAAGGAGGGCCTCGGGGCCGTCAAGAGGACGACGGGAGGAACGAGGCGCAGGGCTACGAGTCGCGAGCGCCTAAGGGAGAAAATCCGAGGCGCGCGGGTGGTGGGCCCATGACTATCGAGAGAAAACAAATCGCTAGGGGAAACCGTCACTCTATACCATGATTGAATATAAAACGTAATGAATTGACTAAGGAATGACAAAACAAGAAAGATATAGGAAATGCTAACCCTGACCCAAGCATGAATGTAACACACCTAGACTAACACACAAAAACTATAACAAATATAGTTTGACACGTGCTGCGCTGCTGCCCGCGCTGCCCAGCTCGCCGCGCACGTGCCCTACCCTGCCCAGCACTATCGCGCTGACCTGCCCCGCACGCCCTGCTGCCCTGCGTGCCCCGCGCGCCCTGCTGCCCGAGCGCCTGTGCGCGCCCTGCTGCCCAGCGCCAGCGCGCGCCCCGCTGCCCAGCGCCCGCGCGCCCCTGCCCTGCCCTGCTAGCGCTGCCCGCGCCTGCCCTGCCCGCGCGCAAGTGCCGCCAGCTGCTGCCGCCCTAGGTGCTGCTGCCCTAGGAGCTACCGCCTGCTGCTGCCCTAGGTGATGCCGCCTGCTGCTGCTGCCCTAGGTTCTGCCGCCCTAGGTGCTACCGCCTGCTGTTGCCGCCCTAGGTGCTGCTGCTGCCACCCTAGGTGTTGCCGCCTGCTGCTGCCCTAGGTGGTGTCCCCTTAGGTGCTGCCGCCAGCTGCTGCCGCCCTAGCTGCTGCTGCCACCCGCGTGCGCTGCCCCGCGCTGCCCTGTCCCGCGCTAGCGCCGCCTTGCCCCGAGCGCTGCTACTGCTACAGCCGCCGCAACTGTCGCCTTTGCTGCTGCTGCCACTGCTACTGCCCTTGCTACTGCTTCTGCTGCCGTTACTGCTGCTATGGCGATTCCCACTGTGCTAGCCTTAGACGCAGAGGGGCGCTCGCTTGTGAGTCATGGCTAGAGGGTATGCACCAGTACCTCCAAAGTGTCACTCAGGACAACGCCTCCCTGTTCGAGCACACCTCGGGGTCCCTTCCGGCCCCCGAGGCTCCTGTTGAGCCTGCTGGTGACGCTGGGGAGAAGGTGTGGATGCAGTACCGCGCAGCTCACGTTGCCTACAAGCGGAGGATGGCGCGCGACGCCGCCGCCAAACTTGGAGTCCGCGCTCACCTCTCGCTCGCCTAGAGAGCCGACTTTCGCCAAGTGCCGTTGGCTCATGCGTTCTATACCGCTGTGGTTAGGCGCTACTCCCCCCCCCCCCCCCTCCTGCCACCCTAGGCTGTCTTGAGCTGCCTCTTACCTTTGCTGCGCTGTAGACCTTGGAACTGTAGCTGACGAGGGTGGTCGTAGTGGAGCTGGCGAGAGTGGCGGGGGCGGGCAGCAGCAATTATAGCCTTCATGTGTCGCTGCTTGTGCGCCTACTAGCACCGGTGCAGTTCTTGCGGAGGCGTTGCTCTCGGTCCCTGTCACGCTGGCCGACCCCACCTCTGGACTAGTCTATGGGCACCCCTCCATTGTTCTCTCGTGCCTCGTGGCAGTCCCCTCTGACTCCTCTGGCTCGACTAAGGGGGGTGACCATGCTGCTGCCGACACAGCGACCTCTTGCCGCTCGCCGCGCTTGGAGACACCTCCGGGTTTTCCGGCTCGGACGTCTTCGCCTCCTCTGCAGCCTGTCGCTGTAGACTTCGGGGGCCCAGATGTTGTTGGGGGTGGTGGCTCTGAGGGTGTTGGTTCTGGGGGTGCTGACTCTAGGAGTGCTAGGAGTCCTCTTGTTGGTGGCACTTTCTATTCCTTGCCTAGCTAGGAATCTTCCTATATTGTTTCGTCACTTTCATTGTATCGTCAGTTTATTTAGTCACAACTTCGTTATTGTTTGATTCCGCACTCTGTTTGATAATTCATAACAGGTTCTTCTCTTGTGACATACAATGTAGTTCTATATGGATTACACGAGATTTCAATAGAATGTCAAAACGTTGGGATTTCCTCTACTGACATAGCCCACTCGCACATCTCGCGCGACATACTCCATATATTACTACGGATAAACTCCGTGTCCACTAGTCACCCCCGCACCGTAGCGCCAATCGTAGGTTTCGTTCATACGCCGGTCTGCCATCGCCTAGGGTTTCGATCACACTTTCGATCGGCGATCCCGCCGAATGCTTACTCGCCTCCCCCGCTACTACCTCACCTCGCCTCTCCTCGCGGCCTCACCGCGCTTTTCCTAGCGGCCTGCCTCCTAGCCTCCCTCCGCTGTCTCGCCTCGCCTTCCTTTGCATCGCCACAAATCGCCGCCGCTGTCAATCCCCTGCTCGCGGTCTCGCCGCGCCAGCTAGGCGTCACCGCACCGCACCGAGCTGCCTCGCCTCGACGCCTGTCGTGGATTCGCCTCGACTCCCCACGGTGCCTCCTCACGCCACCGTGAACACGCTCACCGCGCCGCACACTGCTGCGGTTTCGCGTGCTCTCGCACGCTCAGATTCGCCGCCCCCTCGCGAAACCTCGCTACGACCCCGTTTTCGCACTAGTCGCGGCAGCCGCATGTGAGATCGCGACAGCCGCGTCCCCTTTCCTCTTCCTGCCGGCCCATTTCCCCTTCCCGCCTCCCCATTTCCCCTTCCCGCCTCCCCATTTCCCCTTCCCGCCTCCCCATTTCCCCTTCCCACCTCCCCATTTCCCCTTCCCGCCTCACCATTTCCCCTTCCTGCCTCCCCATTTCCCCTTCCCGCCTCCCCATTTCCCCTTCCCGCCTCCCCATTTCCCTTCCTGCCTCCCCTTTTCCCTTCCCACCTCCCCATTTTCCCTTCTCGCCTCACCATTTCCCCTTCCTGCCTCCCCATTTCTCCTTGCTGCCTCCCCATTTCTCCTTCCTGCCTCCCCATTTCCCCTTCCCGCCTCCCCATTTCCCCTTCCCGCCTCCCCATTTCCCTTCCTGCCTCCCCTTTTCCCTTCCCACCTCCCCATTTTCCCTTCTCGCCTCACCATTTCCCCTTCCTGCCTCCCCATTTCTCCTTCCTGCCTCCCCATTTCTCCTTCCTGCCTCCCCATTTCTCCTTCCTGCCTCCCCATTTCTCCTTCCTGCCTCCCCATTTCTCCTTCCTGCCTCCCCATTTCTCCTTCCTGCCTCCCCATTTCTCCTTCCTGCCTCCCCATTTCTCCTTCCTGCCTCCCCATTTCTCCTTCCTGCCTCCCCATTTCTCCTTCCTGCCTCCCCATTTCTCCTTCCTGCCTCCCCATTTCTCCTTCCTGCCTCACCATTTCTCCTTGCTGCCTCACCATTTCCCCTTCCTGCCTCACCATATCCCCTCCTTCCATCCTTACCTCCCCACTCCTGCCTCCCTTCCTCCGCGGCGGCCATTCCCTCCCCTTACCACCCCTACCCTACCCTCCCCTCCCAGTCCTCCCTTTCAATCCCAATGCTTCCCGATCCGTCCGTCCCCTACCCACCCCTTCCCCCCTCTACCTTCCTTTTCCCTACCGATCCCTCCCCCGTCCCCCCGTTTCGTGGCCCTGTATCCAGCGACACTCCCGCTGCGAGTGTGGGTGAGGGCAGGCCCAGGAGAGCGGTGTAAATGAGGCGCACGTTTGGAGTCTTGACTCCCTGCACGAGGTGAGACAGCCAAAAGCTCCCCTGCCATTACCAAACTGGCGGGTAATGGCAGGGAGTCAAGACTGACATTACCAAACTGGCGGGTAATGGCAGGGAGTCAAGACTGACATTACCAAACTGGAGAACTTGGGCGCGTCTATCGTGAGAAGGAAGGCCCTCCGACCTGCAGAGTGCGTGGGCGACAAGTGTAAGAGAAGGGGGGGGAGTGCTAGTGGGAGTGGAAGGCTGGTCGCGACGAGCTAAGATGCGGCACTGTGCTATGGGAGGCGCGATGATTGACTTTTGTCGACTCAAAAGGTGCGGCGCGGTATGGGAGGTGCGACGAGTGAACGAAGGCGCGGTGAGGGCGCTAAAACTCATAAATGAACGTCCAACCCTCTCAGGAGGCGCCAACACGGCCTCGGGACCAGCGACGCCGTGGGCCTTTCATGAATCGCGAGAATGCAGTTGTCACCTCACCTCATGCCCCCGCGCGCATTAACAGAGGCCCATGATTACACACACCTGCGAGTTACCCTTATCCAAATGTGGAGACGCGGTTAAGAGTTCGACTTTTGAGGAGCCTCAAAAGACGCGGTTAGGAGTTGGTCCTACTGCTACACGAATGCGCTCTTCCACAATGATTGAAACTGTTTTTTTAGAATTCTCAAAAAACACGCTCTTCCACAATACTTTTGCCCCTGAGTTTGTCGAGTTTGGCAGTAGTAGCACGGTGTACTGATGAGTCAAATACTAGGGATGGGTAGAGAGGATTGGCCTTACACAGATTGCCTACACCCACCTGCTGGATTTTCAAATCACTTGCAAAGTGTCACCAACCCAATTTTCGTCATTTCGGTTCGCGCATGCGAAATCCATTCCCCCGAACCCAACATTCATAACCTGCTGCCTAATGTATACGGTCGTTTCAATCGCAGTGTAGTTGTGATTGTTATCCTAAATTAATGCTGATTGTGTGTTTCCTCATTCTTTACAGTTGGACCTGGGTCGCCAGCAGCCTCACGATGACAAACAAAGCGTCATTCCATCGAAGCCGCTTCTTTCTGTGAACAGCCGCTCGTTTTCAAGCATGGTCAAACCATGCACATCAATGGAAACCAGTGTCTCAGGGGACCAAACGAGTGTATTTCCACTGGAAGAACCATCGGCGGCGCCTCGCTCCCCGCAGCCGCAAAGCCCCCCCCTCACCCCGTTGGAGTCGCAAGAAGCCGGGCGATCACGGTGGAGCTTCGCCGTCGTCAACGTGTTCCTGTAGTGAGTGTTCTGCTAAGGAATGTTACTCTTGTAGCGATCGTTGTATGGAAATTCGCTCGATGCCGGCCGCGACAGTTAACGGGTACACCGACGGTGTGAACGCAGCGCAACTAAGGTGTCTTACTTTGTCGACCCAAAGTCATCTTTGAATCGCCTCAATGCAACCCGAACGGTTGTGTACCGCACCTCGCCCTTCCCTGCTCCTCCGTGCCGCTCCCTCGCAACACCCCCTGTTGCTGTCCTGTTCCGCACTCTCCTCCTCTCCCTCTATGCAGCAGCACTGTGCGCAGAGTCAGGCACACCACCCCCGTTACCCACCGGCACAGCGCTCGTCTCACCCCCCAGTCGCCACCTCTCACGCACCGAACTGCCGTGCGACAGCAAGATAACCCCTCCCATGTTCTCCCACCACTCCCCACCTCCCCCCCTTCCACACACAAGCCTTCATTACCCCCCTCCACCCCCCCCGCACCCTCCCTCTTGCATCTGCCATCCCCATCCCCCATCCGCCATCCCCTATCCTCGTCCGGCTTCCCCCATCCCCCATCTGCCTTCCCCCATCTCCCGTTCTCCATTCTTTCCTCCTCTCATATCGTACTGACGGTCGTGCCAGGCGCCGGCCCTCATGCAACGAGCTGCAGTGCAACTCTTATTCCCTCTCCCTGCTCCCTTCTCTCCCAGTGATGATCGTGCCAGGCGCCGGCCCTCATGCAACGAGCTGCAGTGCAACTCTTATTCCCTCTCCCTGCTCCCTTCTCTCCCAGTGATGATCGTGCCAGGCGCCGGCCCTCATGCAACGAGCTGCAGTGCAACTCTTATTCCCTCTCCCTGCTCCCTTCTCTCCCAGTGATGATCGTGCCAGGCGCCGGCCCTCATGCAACGAGCTGCAATGCAGCAAGGTGCAGGTGGTGCCGTGGAGGCAGGGTGAGAGGCGCGAGGCAATGGAAAAGGGCGATGGAGGGGAGGGGGGTTTGGGAAGGAGCGGGTGGGTGGAAGGTGAAGGGCGCGAGGATGCGGAGCTGGCAGGCGCCATGAGTGCTCTTGGCCTGCCAGTGCAGTTCAGTGGAGGGGCTCGGACCGTGCAGTCAGCACAAGATGCTAAGGTGAGTGGGGAATGAGCAGTGGTGGAAGGGGAAAGGCTGGTGGAAGCAGAGGTGGCAGGTGCCATGGGTTCCTTTGGCTTGCTAGTGCAGTTCAGTAAGGGATCGGGACCATGCAGGCAGCACGATTGCTGCGGCGGTGACTGTGCGTGAGCTTCATGGGGTTTCACTCTCACTTTCTGCTGCTCTCCCCTTGCCCTCTTTACCTTTATTCTGATACGCTCAGTCTATTCCGCGCGGTACTCTCTTTGTAGCAGCAAACCTTTCCATCAAGTGCATTGCCCCCATTCCTTCTGGACGGAGCGCGATACTCTCTTTGTTTCTACGTGATAACAAGTTGGTTCTGAGACGTCTCAAAACAAACTTGTTCTCACATGCCTTTCTATTGCCCCCATTCCTTCTGGACGGAGTGCACGTGGTGAAGGCTAACAGGGGTGGGGGGTTTGCACATGAATGCTTTTTTTTTTTTTTTTTTTACGTCTCAGCTTAAAGCCCTTCTCTTTCCCATTATTCGTATTGAAGCACAAACGTTGAAATGTTTGTATTCGTGTGTTCCCATGATGCAGCAGCAGGGCGGCGGCAGCGGCAGCGGCGGTGATGGTGGCGGCGGTGGCGGTGGTGGTGGTTCTGGTGGGGCTCGTGGAGGGAAGAAGAAGAGGCGGGGGAGGAGGAGGGGAGATGGACAATCAACAGCAGAGTGCGCTCCAGATGCAGGGGTAGAGCGCGGTGCGGAGGGCGTGGCAGGGGTAGAGGGTGGTGCAGAGGGCATGGCAGGGGTGGGTGCAGAGGGCATGGCAGGGGTGGGTCCAGCGATAGCAGTGGAGGGTAGTGCAGATGCAACAAGGCAGGCTGCTGCTGATGGAAGGGATCTCACAGGGTCAGCGGCGGAGAGTGCTGCAGGAATGGCAGTGGTCGGGAGCGGTGCAGAGGCAATGGTGGGGAGTGATGCAGAGGCAGTGGTGGGGAGCGGTGCAGAGGCAGTGGTGGGTGGCACGGGGACAGCAGCACGGGTTGCTGCAGAGGCAGAAGTAATGGCTGTCAGTGAAAAAGTGGCAGAGAGTGTTGCTGAGCAGATGGGGGGAGAGCAGATGAGGGGAGAGCAGGTGGGGGGAGAGCAGGTGGGGGGAGAGCAGGTGGGGGGAGAGCAGGTGGGGGGAGAGCAGGTGGGGGGAGAGCAGGTGGGGGGAGAGCAGGTGGGGGGAGAGCAATCACTGGAAGGACTGACAGCGGGATGGCAGGCAATGGAAGGGCAGGCAGAAGGGGTATCGTATGTGGTGGCGGAGGAGGGTGCATGGCAGGCGGTGTGGGAGCCGCTCTCCCACGGCGTGTACTTCTGCAATGCTGCTGCCGCCATCACCCAGTGGCACCCGCCCGACCATGGCGAGGGGAGTGGGCTCGCGTGCTGGGTGGGATGGACGCCTGAACAGGCTGTAGCAGAGCAGGCTGTATCTGCAGAGGGAGCTTTCTCACAGGCAGAAGCGGAGCAGGTCTTATTGGAGCAGGAAGTAGTGGAGGAGGTGGTAACAGGGGAGGCTGTAGCAGGGGAGGCTGTAGCAGATGAGGCTTTGGCAGCGGGGTATGAGAAGTACTGGCAGCAGCGGTACGGTCTGTTCTCACGGTTCGATGAGGGCGTCCTTTTGGATGCTGACGCGTGGCCCCTTGTCACTCCTGAGGCCATCGCCTCCCACCATGCTGCCATGTGCGCTGCTGCCGTGGATTATGGTGGTGCCACGTGTCTAAGGGGTGATGATTCCACGTCAGCAGGAGGTGGTGGTGCTGGCACGTCGGTCGGAGATAGAGGCGCCACTACTGCAGATGATGGTGCTGCCACGCATGCTGCTGCCACGTGTGCTCCTGCCACGCGTGCTGGCCACACTGTACAGTTAAGCTCTGAGGAAGATGCACTAGAGGAGAGGGGAGTCCGAGTAACAGCGGGGGAGGAGGAGGGGAAGGAAGGAGGGGAGGGAGAGGTGAACAGGGAGCGTGATGCGATGGGCAGACAGGAAGGAGAAGAGGAACCTAGAGATGGTTCCCTGGGCGAAGGGAGGTGTGGGAGTGAAACACGCATGGAGAGTTGTGAACGTGCAACAGGCACAAGTGGTGCAGCAGGGCTGGGGGGTGCAGCAGGGCTGGGGGGTGCAGCAGGGCTGGGGGGTGCAGCAGGGCTGGGGGGTGCAGCAGGGGTGGTGGGTGCAAAAGGCGTGGCGGGTGGGGCAGGTGTGGTGCTGGATGCATTCTGTGGGGTGGGCGGCAACACCATCCACCTCGCCAAGCTGTGAGTATTTTCAAAGCTGACGCGACTGCCCAGTGATTGAATAAGCTGATCCAGTCAGACATGAGCAAAAATTCGAACCCCTGTTCGGTTCGACCCGAACACGTTCGAGTGTTCAAGTGTTCGCAAGCACAAAAACCCGGCAGTTCCTTGGACTCCCCTGGGAACACTTACCACGGTTTACATTTCGAATTCACCGGGGAACACCACAAAATTCACAAAGTGTTCGACGCGAACACTTTGGGTTCGAAAGCCAATCGTGAGCTAAAAGAAGGAGGTCGACGATTGAGCTCGTTGGGCTCAGTCGTCCCTTGAGTTGAAGGAAGGCATTCCGCCCCCTATCCTAGTTACCTAGCCCATTCCCACGGTTTACATTTCGGATTTTAGCAGAAAGTGTCAGGTTTAAGGTTAAGTTAGGGTAGGAACCTAATCAAAAAGAGAATACTGACATTTTGATTTAGGTTAGAGTTCTGGAAGTCGAAATTGGACACCAGTATTATACCCACACTTTTCGCTATGGTCATCGTGGTGTTTCTTTTTGCAAGCGAATTATTTACATACCCTGAATGTGACTACCGAAAGCACCCCGAAATCGAACTGTTCAAGTTCGGGTCAAACACCTAAGTGTTCGGCCTTGCCTCAAGACTGTTCGACCCTGAACTCGAATGCGAACAGTTCGAGTTCGGTTCGACCGTTCGGCCTTGCCATCTAGGAAAACTGTTCGAGTTCGGTTCGACTTGACCAAGTGTTCGGCAACCGTTGGAGTCAAACGTGTCCCAGTAATCCTCGTTAGAGTAATTCCAATAATCCAGTAACCTGCTCCCTTCTCAAGGGGCTCAGTAACACCACCAATGCCAAAGGGGGGACAGCCAACGAGTGTGGATAAGGGGTGGGGGTGGATGGATTCTGTTTGGCGGGCTTCTAGGGTGGGTTGGCAGCCCAGTAGTGGATGGATTATGGGAGCGGCGGGTGAGCAACAACAGCTTTTGGTAGCTTGCACTGTTACTTCTGCTGCTTCATCGTACCTTCATTGTGTGGGGTCTCTGCTAACAGCTTCTACCTACTTGCTGGCCTGTACATATCCATGCCACAACCACAGAATTCGTTTCCAGCTTATTCACTTCCACATCACACCCTGTCTCACTTCTCGTTCCTCCTTCCCCACCTCCTCATTCTCCCAGCTGTCCCCACGTGCTGGCTGTTGAGTTGACATGAGCCTGCCTCGCCAGGCCATGCTGCAACATAACATCTATCTTCGGCCCCTGTGCCTCCACATCTCCATGAGCTCATCTCTCTGCTCCTCACCCCCACCCGCCCAACCCCGTGTGAAATGAGTCCTGTTTTGAGTCGACTTAAAACACGTTTCTGAGCTCATCTCTCTGCTCCTCACCCCCACCTGCCAACCCCCGACTCCAACCGCTTTCAGCTGGCCCCACGTGCTGGCCGTTGACATGAGCCTGCCTCGCTTGGCCATGCTGCAGCACAACCTCGCCCTCTACGGCGCCTGTGCTCAAGCTCCATCTCTCTGCCCCACCCGCCCCGACCTCCAACCCCCACACCTCCCAGCTGCCCCCACGTGCTGGCCGTTGACATGAGCGTGCCTCGCCTGGCCATGCTGCAACACATCCTCGTCCCCTACAGTCCCTGTGCCTCCACATTTTCACCCAACTGAATCTCTCTTCTCTTCACCCTCAACCTTGAATTGAACCCCTCGTCCCCTCTCACTCAGCTGGCCCCATGTGCTGGCCCCATGTGCTGGCCCCATGTGCTGACCCCATGTGCTGGCCCCATGTGCTGACCCCATGTGCTGGCCCCATGTGCTGACCGTTGACATGAGCCTGAGATGGACCACCTAAATCTCTCTGACTTGACTCAAGCCACGTCCCTAAGCTCATCTCTCTGCTCTTCACCCCCACCCGCCCAAACCCCAACCCCAACCGCTCACAGCTGCCCCCACGTGCTGGCCATAGACATGATCATGCCTCGCTTGGCCATGCTGCAACACAACCTCGCCCTCTACGCTATGACTCCACATCTGCATCCGACCTGAATCCCTTTACTCTTCAACCCCAACCCTTCAACCCCTCATTACCTCCCAGCTGCTCCCACGTGCTGGCCGTTGACATGAGTCTTCCGCGCCTGGCCATGCTGCAACACAACGTCTCCCTATACGGCGACCACCTGCCCCACCGGGTGGATACGCTCTGTGCCGACTTCCTTTCCATTGCGCCGCGGCTTAAGGTGTGAGGCATGGGAAGATTAGTCAGGTGCCTTGTGGTTGCATCACAACCCTCACAACACTCACCCTTCATGGACCCTGTCTGTCCCACCGGCTGGATTTTCTTTGGGCCGACTTCCTCTGACTTGCACCACGGCTTAAGGTGAGGCATGGGGTAATTTGTGAGGTGCCTTACTACAGTGGCATGCAGCCTCAGCTCAAGGAGCCATCCGTCTACCACATTCCCACCCTTCCTTGCAACATGCCTCTGTGTGTGCTGCAGCACGTCCTCCTGCCTCTGCCGTTTTGCACTCGTTTGTTTAAAGAGTTGGCTAACGTTGGTCATGCTCCCATGCCCACATGCCTCCATGCTCCCATGATACCATTTGATTGCCACATGCTCCCATGCGCTATGCCCCATGTTGGAATGCTCACTAGCGCTCATGCTTCCATGCTCCCAAACCCCATTCTCCCACTCTCTACGCCCCCACACCCCATTGTACCCATGCGCCCATCCACTGTTCCACTGCTTCTTCTACCCCGTGTCGTGCCTTTACCTTGCTCTGCAGGGCAGGCTGATGTGGTCTTCCTGTCCCCCCCATGGGGCGGACCGGAGTATCTGGACCAATCAGAGTACGACATCTGGAGCATGCTGCAGCCAGTCAGCGCGTATGTGTCATCCTTGAGTGCCCGTTACATACCGACCACAATTAAGTGTTCCTTTCGAAAGTTCTCGTTCAGTTATCATGGTGTTGAGTGGAATGTGCTGACTAGCCCTCTTGATCCATGCGTTCACGCGTGCTGACTAGCCCTCTCTCCACCCTCCACAGCACCCTTGGTCCCATTGCCTTCCTTCTTCCCTCAGTTTTGGTACCAGAGACCGCGCTACTTGAATGCAGTTTTGGAAGACCACTACATCACCCTCGATACCACCTTTGTGTCATGTGCTGCTTCCTCTTCCCCCAGCTCTGCCCTTCTGCAGCTGTCACTGAGCATCGCCCCCTCAGTGGCCATGTACCTGCCTCGCAACACGCCCATCCGCCACCTGGAGCAACTAGCTCGCTCCATCACTCCGTCAGGTCCCTGCCTGGTGCGTCACTCGTGACTCATGACTCATGCCGCAACTTGCTACAGTCCTGATATGTGCTCGTTAGAACACAATGATGTGAGGCCCTGACATGTGTGTTGGCGTTCTTGTTTCATTTGTTTATGTGCTGCAGGTGGAGCGGAATTTCTTGAATGGGAAGTTCAAGGCTATCACTGCATACTTTGGCCCAATAGCACGTGTTTCCAGATGCATTGAGTGTCGGAATATCAGTAATGAGCATCGACATCAACACTCTGGTCATGTCTGGAAAGCATGATACTGTAATACAGGAGTCATATCGCACCCGTGCGCTTGTAGGCTTATATAAGATATTATAGGAATTCGGTAAGTCTTAGCTAGCCATGTAATTTGTTTTCAGCTACATCGCAACCGTGCGTCCCACGATATGTTTCAAACGGTTCTCGCCTTTTCCCTTCCGGATGTTTCTACCAGCAGTGGTCTTGATCGAAACTGTGTTCGACTCTTCAGCTGATCGTGTCCCATGTGTTGGGCTGAGAAATTTTACTTGTTTCCAACACCATGGTCTTTGTAGTACTCTATAAGGTTTGTCTTTGTTCCGTTCAGGAATGTCAGAATAACTGTGCAGGAATGAATGAACTATGAATGAGTTGGGTACAAGTACTAACCCTAAAGTACCCCTTGTACCCCTAAAGTACAAGTGTTGTACCCCTTGTAGGCTAACCCACTATAGCCTAGAGAGAACACAAACATACAGTTTGACACACCCCCATAGGCTAAGTGGGAGATAGCTGTTGGAAACAATTGATTTAGCGCCTCTGTCGTGTCGAAACACCAAGTCAGAAGCGAAGCGAAACATATCGAAGCATTAGCGAGTCAACCCTCGGAGGTTGAACAACTGCTGGAGGTTACGCGAAAGTCAAAGGTCAGCGACCTTTGACCTGACAAGTACAGCGCGACAGCAAGGACAAACAACTGACTCGCCATTGAGCAGTTGCCCGAGTCGTCACTGTATCGAACCGCAACAGCAATGGTAAAACGGTTATTAACTGTATCTCTTCGTATTCCTTGTACTCTTATAAAAGCTTCTATCTCATTGCTTTAATCAATCTACTTTGCCCTCACATACCAGCGCAAGGTGGTTCACAACTTTCTCACTAAACACTTCCGCTATTACATTATTCCTACTCAGAGTTTAATCCTGTAAAGATCCTAAGGGCTTTTTCTCAGCCCAACATGGTATGAGAGCAGTCAGGACAAATTCCACTATCAAGACACCTACAACATCAGAAAGCATGGCTACTCAGAAGGAAAGGAGTTCCTCTAATGGTTCTCCCGGTACTACTCCTACTCCACCTCCTGCCTCTGGCCTACAGACAGAGGAGGGCACAGCAACAAGACCGACAGCTGGGTCTACTGAAACTCCCGCAAATCAAGCTGCGGGCTTCGACCCAAGCATGATGGAGAAGTTCTTCTCCTTCATGTCCTTCTACGAACAACACCAGCAAGGGGCACCTGCGCAGTCAAACAACAGCAACAACAGCAACGATGTAACACCGATGAGCCTCGATGGTTCATCCTATCGCGAGGAAATCAGCAACAGCAACCTACCTTCGCCCCGTATGAACCCCAGCGTGGTTCCGTCAGCTTTATGCCGCGCCAGCAGCCTTCACCTGAGCAAGAGAAGACATTGGATCCACTTCAAGTTCAGTCGCAGTTTGCGCACGTCTTAAAACTGCAAACATCAAGACCATTTGACGGAAAGGACTTCTTTACCTGGTCGTTCGAATTCGAGCTGATGATGGAAGGCGCGCAGATTCTTGGCTTCTTCGACGGGTCCCTGCCATATCCAACGCACGGAACACAATACGACAAGCAGCAGTATACGTATCAATCCATGATGGCGTATACAATCCTACTGCGCAACGTCACACCGAACCAGCAGCAGAACATTCGGTCTTACCGAGGATACGGAAATTCCGCCGAGCTTGCTTACAACCACCTGAAGAATCTGTATCAGGCAACAGACAGCGTCAACCAGAGTCGGTTAATGGTGCAACTGACAACAGTGGAAATGAAACCAGGCGAAAAGGGAATGGCGTATATCAGTCGCTGTCGCGAATTGCGCGACAAACTCCTTCGATGTGGAGGATCAATATCAGAAGACGCCTTCGTCACAGTTGTTATCGGCGGTCTTGGTCCACACTGGCGCTCCACTCGCGCCATACTCCGAGCTCACGGGAAGATCTCCGAAGCAGCACTCTGCGCCGAAATTCACGCCGAACAGCAAGACATGGACCTGCAAGAGGAGCGACACAAGAAGAAAACGTCAGTACCCGAATTTGCGTTTCACACTCAACGGCGCTACAACAACAACAACAACCGGCATCAACCAAAACCCGTACCTCCGTTTTGTCATCTCTGCAAAACTTCAGGACACCCTCGCACACACTGCCCGAATCGACAGCAGTCAACGCCGCCGCAGCGCCAACTTCGTCCTTCGAGCAGTCAAGTAGCGTCCACGCAAGCAAACCCCACAAGTCAACTACAGTCCTCAACGACATCGTCATCAGCACAATCTGCACAAGGAGCAAGAAACATTGTCAGTTGTATGGCAAAACTGACTGACTCCTGCATCACCGAGTCACCACCACACTACTCACCGGAAGAACAACTCCACAACAGCACCCCTCGCCGCGAGTCACTTCAACCAAATCCAATGTATGCAGCCATCGCTCAAAGCGAGCCGTCCGGGAAAGATACGTGGTTCTTGGACAGTTGCTGCGGACAGCACATGTGCTCTTCAGGACGCTTCGTTCAAAGCGAACACCAACTTCAACGCGAAGTCGTCATCACCGTCGCCAACAACCAGAACCTGCGCACACGACGACAAGGTGTGGTGCAACTTCAGTCACGAGAGACAAACGTAATACTGCAAATGTCAAAAGTGTTAATTGCGGAGGGACTCGGCTACAACTTACTGAGCGTCAGTCAGCTGATGGCGAAAGGCATCCACCTCGAAGCAGACAGAACAACACAGGAATTCAAGTTATACCACGGGAAGGGCGGTCTCTACATCGGGAAGGTGGTCCTGAAAAATAACGTTTTCGTCCTCGACTTCGTCCCAGATCTTGGCACCGCTGACAGCGACGGAATCGTCACCTTCACCTCCTGGACGCACCCACCGGATCTTGACCCTGACTTCAGTCCCGAAGGTTTCTAGTATTCGCACACCATTCCTGAGGCAGAACGAACAAGAGCATTAGCAACGATTCAACACTCGGCAGCAGTAGAGACAACATCGGCAGCAGCAGAGACAACATCGGCAGCAGCAGAGACAACACCGGCAGCAGCAGAGACAACATCGGCAGCAGCAGAGACAACACCGGCAGCAGCAGAGACAACACCAGCAGCAGCAGAGACAACATCGGCACCAATCGCGGGTCCTTCAACTGCACCAGCCCCAATCGACGACGACACTCCACCGACTCCTGCGCAGCAACTAAATCCGATACCACGAGAAGTCCATCGAAGCGCAAATTTCACTGCAAGCTTCTATTCCAACTCCGACTTATACCTACGCTCACCCGGACATCGCGCCGACGAAGATCTCTGGCATAAACGAATGGGACATCCGAGCAACACGACGTTAAACAACACGATACGAGCAGGCGTTCTTGATAAAGACTCACTACTCTTACCCGACGACAGAGAACTTCGACAAATGCGAGGAACTTGCTTCACCTGCCCAGAAGCTGACTTACCGCATCAGCCCTTTGTTTCCCATCACAATCCAAGCACACCAGCGTACGCACCTCTGGAGAAAGTCTACAGCGACATACTTTACAATCGCGAACCCGGTCAAGGAGCATACAACTACACCATCACGTTCATCGACGCCGCCACTCGTTATGTCTGGCATCTCAACCTTCCAAGCCGCGACATGGCCTTCGAAGCCTTCGTTGCCTGGCTCCCAGTAGCAGAACGGGAATCGGGAGTTAAGCTAAAGAGCTTCCAGTCTGACGGGGGAGGAGAATACACCTCACAAAAGTTCAAGCAGTACTTGGCAGAGAGAGGAATCAAGCGACTCATCTCCCTTCCCTACGCCCATCAACAGCAGGGTGTAGCAGAAAGAATGAACAGGACCCTTCAGAACACCATGCGCAAGCTGCTACGTGGCATGCGGCTACCCAACCACCAGTGGCCCGAGGCAATGGACCACGCCGTGATGCTGCACAACTTGCTCTCGTCATCATCGCTCCCGAACAACGCATCACCGCATCTGCTGTGGACAGGAAAACTGGGCAGCACAAAAATGTTGCGAAATTTCGGCTGCATGGTACAGTACCGACCCCCAGCTGCACGCGCTGGCCGATTCTCCCAACGCGCACAGTGGGGACTACACCTGGGCATTGAAAAGAATTACAACGCGTGGAAGATATTCGACGTCCACTCAAAAGAAACAGTGGCAGCACGTGATGTCATTTTCTATGAGCGACTCACTCTTTCAACGTACCTGTACAACTTGGAGACATCACGAGATGTCACAGGCGGATTTCGTGGGGACCGAGCCTTCGCTTCGGCAGAAGATGAAGCTGACCTGGACGAGCAGACCGTGGACGGAGCTTCGGAAGACGCCGGACCACTTCCCTACTGCTCGGTGGATGTTCCAATGGACGATGACAACCCTCGCGAAAGCATCAACGCCGAAGTCTTCTACGACTTCGCCGACAACGGTTACGTTACACCCGCCCGAGTCAACACCAACGAAGCCGAATGCATAGGACCCAACTTCTTACCTGATCCAGAAGAAGGTGACGAAGCAGCTTATCCCGAGGATACGACACTTCCCCGCTACACACAGAGCGGACTCCAGATACTTGGCCTCGTCACCGCAGTCCACGGCACGGAGATTCCTAAGGAGCCTGCCACAGTTCAGCAGGCTGTGGGGGGGGAGCACAGGGAAAAATGGCGCGAAGCCATGGACAAGGAACTGAAAGCACTGGAAGAACGGAACACCTGGAAAGTTGTTCCCATCG